CATGACTCATTTGAATTGTTTTCACAGTGTTCAGTTTGTTTGCGTAAGTGGTTGGAAATGCAAGGATGCAGAGTTTAGGCAATAAAAAAAAGAACTTTCTAATTGTCAATGTAGTCCAATGATGGATGCTCTGTCTCAGGGGGAAATGAGTTCCCTGTCATTGCAGGTATGCAAGCAGAGGCTGGCTAACCTTTTCTGTCAGGGAGGCTGTTCAGAGAAATTCTGACCTGGACTGAGGAGGAAAGGAGGGCTGGACTGGCTGACTCCTGAGGTTCTTTCTCATTCTGAACATAATTCTAAAATTTACATACAAACCACACTGAGAGATGGACTGAGACTTTGGTATTCTATTCATGGGATAAGGTATAAAGGTAGGGGGTTTTCTTTCATCCTTAAGTGAAAGTTGTAGATTTTATGTAAGATCACAGTAAAAGATCTGACATTTCTGCTTTGTGAGTCTGGGCTAAAGCTGAGATTTGCTTTTGAAATATGAAAGTAAACTGTAACTGCCTCAAATTATGTCTCTTGGATTTATATTTATATATAACCTTTAAAGTTCTCCCAAGTTTTCACCCTGGAGAGAAGAAGAAATTACAGTAATCTTACTTAGGGCTGGAAGTCTGAAGAGACACTAGTTCTAGGTTAATGGAAAACCGACACTGTTTTGCCTGGGCTTCTAGCGGTTTCTACCCGCTTCTAACTGATGTGAACTCGCACACCCAGGGACAGAGTCACGAGCCTCACATATTAAATTCAGTGCTTTTGTGGTTCAAGCTCAATTGCAAATTGCTTTTAAAAACATTTCTTCATGGTATTTTTAAGAGCACTATTTGTTATTAAGCATCTTCCTTTCACAGTCCAAATCTACTTCTAAACGTTATTATTGCTCATGGTAAACCCATTTCAATTCTCTGAAAACTACTTTCGAGTGTTCTTCTGTCTGTGCTGTTTCCACGTAAGTGTGCTGGCACGTGATTGCTCTCCCTGTAAAGCCTTCACTACCCCCACCCCCCACCCCCTGCCCCAAGGAGACAGGATGGATTTGAATCAGAATGCACAGTGTCAGCATTGGAAGTCTTCCTCGATTTCATCTAAACGAATTCGCATCTTTGCACTGCCCTTGTTCAGGATGAAGAAACTAAGGTATTGTGGGGGAGGGGGTCACAAAGCAAGTAGCAGCACAACTAAGCCAGGGCACAAGGACCTTCCAGTCTTAGAAGACTCAGTTTGGGTTCCCTGGAAGCAGGTGCAGGTAATTTATTTGGGAGGTGAACCGGCAGGAGAGGGGGAACGAGGCAGGGCAGGGAAGGCGGCTTTTCAGGACGAGTTAATGAGCAGGTTAACTCTGGGCAGCTGGGACTCAGTCCCTCGAGAACCTCTGGAGGTGGATTAACAACAAGCCTCGGAGCTGTCCCACCTGAAGGGCAAGGAACTGGCGGTGCTCTTCCAATAAGTCTTGCTTGTCGCTGGTTGGGGGCTGCTTCCAGCCCTTAATTCCCCAGCACTTCCAGCCTGTTCTATGCAGAGGCCAAGCATTTTTCTGTAGCTGGAGAAAGCCCTCAGCAGAGTGTTGTGGGGGCTTTCAGCAGGAAGCCACCCAGCAAACAGGACTGGCGAGTGCCTAGGGGACGTCTGTGGGGCAGTGACAGCCTCTGCTACAGTGGTCAAATGCTCATTCTCTCCTGTCCCTGGTCAGTAAGCCTCACAGCTCTGCCTCAGAGGTGAGAGGCTGAAACAAAACGTGATTTATAAGGGAAATTAAATGTGTCGGGTTGGTATTTGCAAATGAGTAAACATGATCCCTATTTTACGGGAACCCAGCATGCACTTTGTACCTTACCCACGTGCCGTCCCTCTACCTTGCGTGACTTCTATAAAACTGTTCATCCTCCAAAGTCCAGCTCCAACGTGCACTTGTTATGTCTTTTCCTGATTCCTCAGGAAAAATTAATTGCCCCTCCACCCCCCTTGCTCTGACAGCATGTTGTGCTGGCTCTAAAATAACGCAGCTATGTAGTGTCCTGGCTCCTTGTGGGCCCATCTCTGCTGCTACTAACAGTGGTCATAATAGCCAATGTTTATCGAGTTTAATCCTGACTTTACGTGCCAGGCACTGTTTTAAATACTTTATGTTAATGAACTCATTTAATCCTCTGAACAACTCTATGAAGTAGCTGCAATTACATCTCCATTTTGTAGAAAGGAAACTGAGAGGGAGGTTAAGCGACTTTCCTAATATCATATAGTTAGCAAGTGGCAGAGCTGGGATTTGGTTCCAGAAGGTCAGGCTTCCAAGTCCCTGCTCTTAACCTCTGCACAGAACGGCCTCTCTTTGGCTCCGGTAGAGAAGGGGGCCCAAGGACTGAACTCTGGGTATTTCCAGCAGTTTTTAGGGCCTCATGCCGGGTTAAGAACTATTGACTATAGAGAATTTTAAACAGGTAGGCGACAAGATTTACATTGTACAAAGATCGCTCTCGCTGTAGCGCATAGGGTGATGGGAAGAGGAGAGACTGAGAATAGAGCTAACAGTCAAGAGATGGGTGCAGCAATCCGAGTAAGAGCTGAGGAAGTCCCAAGTTGAGCATGAAACCTCCTCCTGAGCTGACCCTGGCTCACCTCCCCACCAGCCCCCCACACGGCAGGGCACCCGCTCACGTGGTGCAGGGGGCACCTGCACATGCACCTGGCCGAGGGCGCATGTAGGGGCAGTAATGCAGCCTGGGCTCTGGCTGCCTCCCTGAGCCCTGGCGAGGAGTCACATGTACCAGGAAGAAGGGTGCCTTTTCCTCACTTGCACAAAGAAGCCATGTGGACGAGCAGCGGCCATGTCGATCCAGATGTTTTAAAGTACTTTTTGTTTCCTGATTATGGCGTGGTTTTCCCCACCTCTGTGTCTTGAATATTTGGTTTCCTCTGCTAAGGATGCTCTCTCATTCATTCATTAATTCATTTTCACTTATTCATACAACAGATTTTTTTAGCACCCACCGTGTGCCAGGTGATGGGGACTCAGTGGGGGAGCTTACAGTCTAAGGGATGAGATGAATATTAGTGTAATAATTATGTGACAGATATGTCACGCTGACACTTTTTTTGCAGGTAAAGTCAGGGGACCATGAGCCTATATGTTGGGTGCTGGGGACTTATCTGCTCTGGGATGCAGGTGGCCACGGTAAGGTCGTCACTGGGACAATATGGCTTCCCTTAGGATGTACGTGACTTTTATGCTGAGATGTGAGGAACAAGGAGGAACTAAACAGGCAAAGAGGGGAGGGAAGGAGAGTGGAGTCCTGCTATGTTTAACAGCATGCTCATGAATCTCTGGGTTAGAGGAGACAGGTCTGGAGCCCAAAGGAGACTCAGCCTAATAAAAGGAGGGGGCAAGTGAGGAGGAGGATCCCAAATGGAGGACCCAGAGCCATGAGAGAATCCACGGAGAAGGGGCCTGAGGACCACGGCAGCAGCAGGAGGGGAGACCGAGGAGAAATTCCCAGAACAGGCTGCTGAGGAACTTTTGAAAATAGGGATGTTCAATGTTTAATCTTAAATTGTGCTTCTGTGGTTTAGAAGTCTTCCCCTCCCCAAACTTTCAGTATAATCTTTTGCACACAAATGCCTTATGTGAATGGTTTGGGGGACAATCAGGGGAGAAAGCTGCGTCCCCAGGAAGGGTCAGTGGGGAGCAACGAGAAGAGTTTAGCCATGTGAGGTGACACAGGTAAGGTCAAAAGGGCAGGGGACACAGAAAGTTGGAGGCAGCAGTGACAAGAGGTATTTATAGAATGCACTGTATTTGAACCTCAAAGAACTAGAATTTTATTTGTATTCAATTATGATGAGTGATTAGTATAAAATGATGACCAAAGGCAGCATTAAAGAGGATCCAATGAGAGGAGGGGCAGCCTAGACAAGGTGATAGAAGAAGGAAGGGACATTCTCACCCATGTCCTTGGCAAGGGGACAGGGCTGTGGTTTCATTCCAGACATCTGAGCCTCAGGGGGTAAACTCCAGCTGAAGGAGGTTCCTCCCTACCAGCTGACTCCCCAGGTCACTACCCTCCAGCCACAGTGCAAAGGCCACCAGGACCTTGGAGAATTACTAATTCAACATTTATTGAATACCTGTTACTTTCTGGGTACAAAGTCACAACGGACATTGTCCTTGGTCCTTGCCCCTTGGAGGACTCCGTCTAGTCAGAGAGACAAAGATCACACTACAGTGATCAGTGCTGCCACAGAAGCAGGTCCAGAGGGGGTGGGAGCAGGAGTTGACCCAGTGGGGGGCATCAGGCAGCTTCCTGGAGGAGGGACGCCTAAGCAGGGTCATGGTGTTTTCCCAGGTGGGCAGAGGCCTGGTAGGCAAAGGGCACAGGCCCAGCTGCAGTGGCTCCTAGGCTGCCCCTCTGCAGGGCTTACCCTCAAGCACAGAGCAGCCTGCCTTGATACCTCTTGTTTTCATCAAGTCCTGTCTCTCCAACTGGATGCTGTTCCTCAAGGCTATGGAGACTTTGTACGTGTTCAGATGTGAGAGTAGAAAAGGCAGAATTTGAGTAGTGCCAAGGAGATCCCCTAGCCCAGAGCTCCCTGCCCAAAACACCATCTGTGACTATGCTTGCATGCCACCCGGGTCCCTCACTCCTTTGGGTCTGACAGCCACCATTGAGGAGCCGCCAGTGGAAGTATAAGGCCCTCCTGGGTGGATGCCTGCTAGGAATAGATGGCTGGGAATTGGGAACTAGAGAGGTAGGGAAGGAGAACAGGGAGAGGAAGGGATGGGGGTTAGCCAAGATGCACATGGACTTTCGCAACATTCTTGCCACTGCTTTTCTCCTATCCTCCACTTTTTTAACCTCAAAACACACGTGTAATAAATGTTTCTGAGTAGGCTCACCAAGAGGGTAGAAACAGTGTTTCTGAGGTAGGCAATGTAATGGAAAGAGAGACGCAGTGTGAGCCCTGCTGTGTGGCTCTGAGCAAACCCAGTGCTCACTCTGGGCCTCCATTTCTCCAAGTGTCCAGTGTGGAGGCTGGATTAGATGTTCCTCAGGGGCTCTTGCAGCTTTCAGCCTCTGTGGTCTCCAGTTTGCACAGCAAGGTGGGAGGAAAGCCTGTCTCTGTGTCTGGCTGGGCTCGGCCTGTGTTTAATCTGTCTCAGCTGAAGCCAGGTCTGCAGAGTCAGGCAAAGTAGCCCCAGAGGAAGACATTGATGGCCAGCAGGAGGATGGCATTGACGTTGCAGATGCTTCTCCAGAGTGGCTCCTCCTCGATGCTGGTCAGCTTCTGCTCCAGCACGGCCGTCTCCGCTGGGCTCACGGCTTGCACCGGGGCCCCGGAGAGCCCACAGAACCAGCCCCAGAGCAGCTTTCCCCAGGACCTGTGTGGGGCTGAGGGACAAAAGCCAGAGGGGAAGGAAAGAGGAGGCAAGGCAAGGTTGGAGAAAACAGAGCGATGAGAGAGCAGGGGAGGGAGAGAGATGGTGAGAAATGGAAGAAAGGGATGAGGCGCACAGAAAGGGGACGGGGTGGAACAATCGACTTAGCCCTTTCTGCTAGCCACAGATTGAGTGCTGAGTCAGGACTCAAGGCTGAGCTCTGACCCTGGCCACAGCATCCGAACAGCCACTGAGCAGAAGCACCTCAATGCTGCAAGGAAGGTGGTGTGTTAAAGAGTGAGAAGAATGCAGTTCATCCCACTTCAGGGCACACGCCCCACGTGAGGATGGGGCAGGGGGCGCATCTTCTCACCCAGGAACCAGACAGACGGCTGCACCGCCTTGGGAAGGGCACTGGGCTGGAAGCCAGGGACCTGTTCCAGGGCCAGCGCTGCCATCACCTGACTGAGGCCATATGCAATTGCTCGCTCAACTCCCCTGAGCTGCAGGTTCTTTCTCTCCCCAATAGGTCAATGGCATATGTCCTGTTCTCCTCCAGATCATTTTGCGTCTGATGAGAATGGAGATGTGATGGCACTTTAGAAAGGTACCAGTGCTGGAGCAGCGGGGAGAGGTTCTGGTGAGTGTAACGTTCTACTCGTGCACCAGACCCTGTCAGTGCAGACACGGCTCCCCAGTGCGGAGAGGGCACTAGAGGCAGCACAGTTCATTAAAAATGAAGTTTTAAAGAAATAATAAAGAAAATGGATATTTTAGAAGTATTTTTTTGGATTAGCAGATAGCATATTAAAACAAAATTTATATTAAAAAAAAACTTTCACTGAGGTTTAATAGAACCCACTGGGAATGCTTTCTTGTCTTAATGGCTTTGGACTCAGTACTTGGTAGGTTCAATGCGACTGCCGAGTGTCAGAGATGCGAAGACCCCGGACACCGTCCAATCACGGTCTCTCACTGGACAGAGGAGGAAAAAGCCTCAGAGAAAGGAAGGGACTTGCTTAAGGTCACATAGCCACAGAGCCACATGAAGAGCAGTAACAGGAATTCAGCATTTGATTGTAGACCAGACTTCTTCATTTTACAAGTCGGTCCCAGTACTCTCTGATTCTTTTAAGTAGTTACTGGTGAGCAATGACTCAAAAAATCTAAATCTATCCTCAACCTGGGACGAATATATTTCTTTCAGATCTACTCTGCTGTCCTTAAATTTTTTTTTAACTCTTTTTGGGGGGACTTAAAATTATACTGCCACTTTGCTTTCTAACCTGGGGACATCACAGATGAGCTTCCTCTGCCTGTAGCCTTTCAGGAGGATGCTTCCTTCCCATTCCCGATGTTTCCCTGGGCAGGGAAGGAGCGGCTGCGTACCCAGCACTTGCTTCCCCTGCTCTTTCACTCACAGTGGCTGGGCACGGACTTCTCTCAGAACTTCTTGGCCGACTCAGTGCCTCCTTTGCCCCTCTTGGGAGCAAGCCACCCACAGGAAGCAAGCACTTCTCTGCTTCTCCAGGAAGAGGCTCTGCCCCTTGGCATGGGTCCAGCAGTGGAGGGCTGCCAGTGACCACGGAAGTCTGTCTAGTCCTGGGGTGCAGCCATGGGAGAGTATGAGCTGTGCCCACCTTCCTTCCCTTTGGGGCTACCTTCATAGCCTCTTCCCTTCCTCTCTCCTCTCTCTTGGTAGCTGCCTCCCCTACAAAGAGCTGTGCTCTCAGACTGCTTCTGCCGTGCCATAAGGCTCATAGGGGCCAGGACCTGGTCCTTGCACTGATGGGAGGAGAAGCAGTTTTGAGACCCCAACATCTGTGCATGGACCACAAAGGTTGAAAAAGAGGCAAGGAGTTACTGCTAAGAAAAATATACCTGAACTAGTTGGGACAACTGATTAGACCAGGGAGGGTGACTTTGAGATTTGGTGGTGCTTTCTTTCTTTCGTTTTTTTTTTTTTTTTTGTGAGGAAGATCAGCCCTGAGCTAACCTCCGTGCTAATCCTCCTCTTTTATGCTGAGGAAGACCAGCTCTGAGCTAACATCTATTGCCAATCCTCCTCCTTCCCCCCCCCCCCAAAGCCCCAGTAGATAGTTGTATGTCATAGTTGCACATCCTTCTAGTTGCTGTATGTGGGACACAGCCTCAGCATGGCCAGAGAAGCGGTGCGTCGGTGCGCGCCCGGGATCCGAACCCGGGCCGCCAGTAGTGGAGCGCGTGCACTTAACCGCTAAGCCACGGGGCCGGCCCTGGTGGTGCTTTCTGAAGGGAACCTACGTGGGTTTTGACCTTGGAAGTTTGTAAAGGATTACATTCTCCATTACGGATAGCTTTTTATGGTGGACCACTGGCTTTTACCTGCTGCAGCTTGGGCAAGAAGCTTCGAGTCTTAGATATTGGTGGGATTCTGGAGCTCATGATGTCATCAACTCGAGGCAAGTGGCTGTTTCTCTAGAGTCAGGGCCTTAGCATAGGTGAAGTGCCTCGAGAAAGGTGGGAGACTTCTCAGGCCTCAGGGGAAGCACAGCGCCCCTAGAACCTGGCAAGGGCATGGGAGCCGAGTGGCATGGTGCTGTCAGCATTTGGGTCCTCAAAATGCTCGTAACTTGCTGGAATTATTGCAAGTTTGGCACACCAGAGGCTGGGAAGGGAACTAAGACACTTTTTGGTGCCCTGTGGAGCTCTGCCCAATCCAGTGGGAGGGGCCGCTACCCGAGGCACCCCAACTCCACCTGGGCCCTGGCGCTCCCACTAGCTGAGGCAGGCCGTAGCTTTAGGACGTACGTTTCATTAAATTTCAACTTACAAGAGCAAGAGAAATTGATTTGGGAGTTTAACTTGCAAACTAACTTAACTTTTTGACTTTAACTTTTCCTTGGGAATTTAATACTTTGGGAAATCTCTATGATGTTGTCATTATATCAAAATATCTTAACGTTATTATTTACTCACGCTACAAGAAGGTTGTAGCTGTGTTATGTCTTAAACACCACATTATACCTCATACCAATTTTCAACTTTAGATACTGCATGGCCTGGCAGTAAATTTAATTGATGTGCTATCCTACCACATTTAAGAAGCTCCAGGAGGCAAAGTTTATAGGGCCTATCAGCAGCTCAAGCAGGTACCCTTAGGAACGGTGGTTGCTCTGGAGGAACCTCACGAAGACAGGCAGAACTGTATGGACACATGGCTGCTCTCGTCCCATGAGGGACAGCTGTGCTTCTGTGTGACTGTAGGCAGAACTGTTAAGGCCAGTGAGGAAAAAAATTTAAATAAATGAAGTGGTAGTGAGGGGGGCGGTTTCTTTGTCATGCCTGATGTTTCCTTCCATGTGGAAGGAACTCAATTAGTGTAGCACCGTTTGATTTTCTGCCCTTAGATTCATTCGACCCGGGGGAGGTAAAGGGACTCCCTGTTGGTAGAGTTGGTAACGATAAAGAGGGCATACTTCGCTCGATCCCTCCCTCCTCCTTCGTGGCAGTGCCGTGCTCACAGGGCACCTGTGATGGCTACCTCTGCCTAATGCTGGGATTCGATATTAAGAAGTGCACCTCCTCATGGATATAAACCAAATCCTTCCACCTACACTTTGTCAGTAATGAGGGCAATATTTCGGCTCCCATCTGCCTTACTCATTTGTCTTCTTTCTCAAATAGTTTAATAGCCATGTGGGAAGGGAGGAGGGGTGATATTTTTTGGGCTCCCTCAGAGACCCCATCCCCAAAGACCTCCAAAAGGGGGTCTTTGGGGACCCAAGACACGGTGTCTGTCCCCACTGCTCCTATGTGATGCGCCCCCCAGCGTGCCCTCAGCCTACCTCCAGGCTGCTCGCAGTCCTGGCTGGAGTCCTCTGCCCCTCCGCCTCCTGCAGGGCACTCCCCATCGGGGGATGGCAGCTCCGATATCCCTGGTGTGCCCTCATGGGCCTCCTTCTCCAGCTCAGAGCCAGGGCAGTTCCGTGTCCACCACGTCAGGCGGGCGAGCTGGAGGGAAAGAAAACACTGCTTGACTCAGTTCCTTTGGAGGGAAGTCCTGCTGTGAAAAAAGAGGGTCCTCTTCCCGGGAGGCCGCCAGAGCAGCGAGGAGTGCGGGCACAAGCACAGGGCTGGGAGTCAGGGCGCCTGGCCCCCTCGCCTGACGGCCCCTTCCTTTGAAAACCTGCTGAGCTCCCGCTCCAGGCCAGCCTCGTGCCGGGGGCTGGAGAACACACCGGTCCAGTCAGGCACGGCCCTGACCTCAGAGCTCACAGCCCGGAGACACAGAGCCGGATGGGAGGGACGTGCCCCGTGATGAAAGGCTCCCAAGGGCAGACTGAGGAGTTGATACTCTTTAAAAAAAAACTCGTAGGCAGTGGAGAGGCACTGCAGACTTCAGGCAAAGGGAAGAGAGGACAAATCCTGGGATTCAGAAAGACCTCTCAGAGTGAATTGATGGGATCCAGCCCCGAGGCTGTTGCTGAAAGGAAGCAAGAAATAAAGAGGGCTGAGGTGATGGGAGGGAGCAGTCTTAAAGAATGTTGAGGAGTGAGATCCACAGGCTGAGGTGACTGACGAACGAGCCAGCTGGGTGAGGAGACGGAGGCGGCTACCATGGCTCTCAAGTTCCTGCCTTGGACATTGGATGGGTGGTGGTGCCCCTCACGGAGAGAGAGCGGACAGGAAGAGGAGTGGGTCTGCCTGACAGTGGGAGTGAGAGAGACTGAGAGGGAGGGGCTCACGCACACACACACATATGATGATGAGCTGGAAGAGTCTGTAGACCCTCCGAGTGGAGGTGTCCAGTTGAGGAGAAGCAAACCCTATGTCCCCTGGACAGCCCTGGTGGCTTTCCCTCTTCTCCCTTTTTGGTGGCTCAGCAGAGAAGAACACAGCAAGCTCTGTGGCAGATATCATGCACCCAGCCATCACTACTTGAGCTCTGAACTGCCTGCTTTCCAATAAGGCTCTTTTCCTGGGCAGGCCGCTCTTTGTTATGTATTGAACCAGGTACTTCTGCCCTGTCCTCCAAGTTCCTACAAATACGTGCAGCGGTGCGGGGTGAGGGGCCCCTTTCCTGGGACGCCTTCCACTGGGCATCCAGCTGTGCCTCTCTATGCGATTATGAGAGCGTGGGCTGCTTCTTTGCTTATAAGTATCTCTCAATAAACTTTACTTTATACTTACACTGTGTGTCATTAGCAGCACGTGGATAGTATCTCTGTGTCACCAGGAGGCAGTTGGATTTTGAGTTTGAATCTTGGGAGAGGGGTTTTGGCTGGAGATGGAGAATTGAGTGTCTTTATGCAGAAGGTTGTTGAATTCACGGGCATGGATAAGATAGTGCAGGGACAGTGTGGGGTGAGAGGGGTTATAGGCCAGAGGTGGGTCCCTAAGGAACAATGATATTTAAGGATCAAGAAGAAAAGCCCATGAAGAAGGCAGAAGAGTGATCAGAGGGTGGAGAAAAAAATCCAGGAGGGAAATACGCCATGGACATGAACAGAAGAGAGGTCTGCAGGAGGCAGGAAGTGGTCAGTGGTGTCTGGGTCTCCTCGGAATTCACTTAAAATAAAGATGGGGAAGTGACCACTGATTTTTAGCAACAAAGTTATTGGGGATCTTGGTGAGAGCAATTTCAGTGGGAAGGTGGGGACACCAGCCAGACTGCAGTGAGTTGAGAAGTAGACAAGAGGTGGGAAGTGGAGGCTGGAAGTGGAGACTATTCTTTGCAAAGTTTGCTGTTGAGGGGCAGAGAGGGAGGCAGCTGTAGCTAGAGAACAGGATCCGGGGAGAGGAGTTTTATTTGGGAAACACTTCTGTGTGGGAGCGAGATAGCAGAGAATGGAGAAGAAGTTGAAGCTACAAGCAGTGGGAGAGGATCATTTCTCGAGTCAAGCACTGGAGAAGTCGGCTTCTCTTGGCTCATCTGTGAAGGCCTTGCTTGTTGGTAGGAATTCGTGACACCAGGGGTGTACAGTTGTTGTGCAAACTCTAAAGCACCATACAGGTAAGGGGCGTTATTAATGATTTTCACCCAATATTCCAGAGACCAGCTTCTGGCATCAGCTCTGTTATGGGCTGAATTGTGTCCCCGTAAAATTACTATGTTAAAATCCTAACCCCCAGGACTTCAGTATGTGGCTGTATTTGGAGATGGGGTCTTTAGAGAGGTAATTAAGGATAAGTGAGTTCATTAGAGTGACTCTAATCCAATATGACTGGTGTCATAAGAAGAGGAGATTAGGACACAGACAGGCATGGGGGAAGACCATGTGGAGATAAGACGAGAAGATGGCCATCTACAAGGCAAGGAGAGAGACTCAGAGGAAACGCACCCTGCTGACACCTTGATCTCAGGTTTCCAGCCTCCGGGTTTCCAGCCTCCAGAACTGTGAGTAAATGCATTTCTGTTGTTTAAGCCACACAGGCTGTGTTCCTTTGTCACGGCAGCCCAAGCAAACTACTACTCTGTTGCTCCAAAGAAAGAAGATTTCAAAGACTGGGCCTCGGTGCCCAAGGACTGGTGAATCCATCAGCCTGGGAGGCAAGGACTTCCAGTTGAACTCTTACTCTGCCAGATTCTCTTTCTCTTCTCATATACTGGCTTCTTGACTGGTCAACAGATCCCTATTCATTCTTCAAGGTCCAGCTCAAAGTGATCTTGTCTGAGAACCCTCCCCAGCCCCAGGGGTGACTGCCTCGCCTTCTGTGCTCGGCCCCTCCATTTGAGCTTGGTCCTTCTGCACTCTCTCTCAGTAAAGTAACTGTATTAGTGTCTGTTCCCCCCACGGACGGTTGCTGGCAGAGACCATGCGTCTTTGTAACCCCAGCACAGTGCCTGGCACATAGGGGGCGCTCGCTGAGTCATTTTCCAGTTGAATGAATTACTTCTCACCTGGGAATTAATAACCCAATGAGCTCCTCCCCCCCAGGACATCTGTATGGCAACAGGGGAAACCACAACCCAGTGGAGTAACACTCGGTGGTGGAATTCCAGGCACGGGGGTAGGGGGAGCATCTTGAGGGGCCTCAGTACGAGCACCACTTGCCTTTTCCTCAGGGATGGGGGTGGTACAGAGGCTGACAGTGACAATGACGATGGCAGTGAGCCCACAGAGGAGGAGTGCAAAGTAGAGGTAGTGGAAGTCCTTCAGCACAGCTGGTCTCCGGTCCACATCCCCACAGGCTGGGGCTGGGTAAGAGAACTCCAGGATCATGCGCACAAGGCCCACTGCTAGGCCAAACATGAGGCCCCAGAAGGCTCCCTGTGGAGAGAGGGCAGACACGGGAAGGGCTGAGATCCAGGTGGCGGACCCCAGCAAGCTAAAAGCCACTGGTTTGTGACAGTGTTTGCAAGTCCACTGTAATGAGTTCCCCATGGATGCAGAGGTTTGTCTTAACTTAAACGCAGACAGCGGGGATTTTGGAAAGGGCACAAGCTCCAGAGCCAGACAGACTGGGATTTGGGTCCTGGCTCCCTTACAGAATGGCTGGAACAGTGACTCCACCTCCCTGACCTGGAGTTTTCTCATGTGCAATTAAGAGAAATTAGTAAGGACTAATATTGAACTAGAATGTAATATGCTTTTGTAACAAACAGGGAAAACCAAGATCCCCCTTCCCACTGTCTGTTATGGTACATTGAAAATCAGAATAGACATCTCTCTTTTGTTACTTTTATTTTTTTCCTGTCTTTTGCCTTTTTTTTTTTTTTTAACAAAAGAAAGTTCTGTTACCTCTCATATCTTCTTTATAGCACTGTTTGACCCTAACCTATACCTGTTCCTCATATGTAAGAGTCAGGTGACTTGTATTTTCAAAAATGAAATGTTGATCATGATTTCAAATATTCTGGAATGAGCAGAAACACCCAGAATTCCACTGAATCCTGCTGTGCACCACTGTTATCAGTAGGGAGATTAGACCTCTGCAAACAGTAGACGCCAGTAGACACCTTGCTCAGCTACTCCACTGGGGGTGGGGTTCCTGTGATCTCCTTTGAGCTCTCACGTGGCTCCTGTGGAGTTGTGTCCATGATGTCCCTTACCTCCCCAAGGCACAGCCTGCAGATGTGTCCTGGGGAGTAACCAAGCTTACCGTCCTGGGACCTCTAGCTCCTCCCAGGCTGCTGTCAGGTTTCTGCAGTTTCATGAATGGTGCCTGTGTGGCGCCTGTGTAAGTTCACCCTTTGTTTTGTGATCGTCATTGCTGTCATTTTTCCTACATAGAGAACCTTAGAGTAGCAGAGATAGCGCAGACCCTCAAGACCTTCCAGTCTGTCTTGGGCTTTCACACACACTGTTCCTTGTATCTGGAACACTCTTCCCTCTCCCATTCATCCTTCACTTCATCCAGGAAGGCTTCCCTGATCCCTGCCAGGCATCCCATAGGCTAGGTACTCACCCTTTACTCTTATAGCAGCCATTATACTTTATTATTATTGCTTATTTAACCTTGTTCCCTCCCTGCTGGCCCAGTGATAGCAGGCCTCCTTGAACCTTGTAAACCACTGCATCCAGTCAGGAGCCTCCAGAATAGGATTGATAAATGTTTGTTGAGTGAATGAATGAATCTGGACCCAATGCTACCGATGGGGAGTTGGAAGCCTAGAGGGGGCAGTTGGTGTGCTCAAGGTCACACAGAGAGGCCAGGTTATGGACAGACCCACTCTCTTGCCCTCTGGTGTCCTGGGGGAGACAGGTGCACTGCTGTACTCACGGGCTCTGTGACCCTCTTGCAGAAGATGGCCAGCAGGAAGAGAGCAGTGATGGGCGGGGCCAGGTAGCTGGTGACAGACTGGATGTAGTCGAAGAGCTGCCCGCTGTTGGAGCTTTGGATGAGAGGGATCCAGAGGATGCTGATGACAACCAGGAGCACCACAAACACTCTGCGGAGGGCACAGGGAGCTGTGAGGAGGGCTTGGGGCGGCGTGGCGTGGGGCGGGGCGAAGATGACCCTCAGGGACCGGGAAGGGAGAAGGAGGAGAACGCGTGATTGCTGAATCAGAGAATGTTAGAATGCCAGAATCTCAAATCTAAGATTCCAGAAATTTAGACTCTTAAAATCCCAGAATGTCAGAATTCCAGAATCCAAGAAACCTAGGATTTTTGAATTGGTTGCTTTTGAGGTCATGTGGCCCACCTGCTCTTCAGGAAGGAGCCAGACCTTTCACCTCACCGCCCACCTCACGAAACAGCCGCTGGTCTTTGCTCGGGAGCCTTGCCTTCTCTATCACATCCAGACCCTGTGCGGGACAGCGCCTTCTCCAGGATGGCTCCAGCCTCCAGAGCCCTCCCTTCCCCAGGCTCCTCCGGCTTTAGTCGTCTCTCCCTTACACTGGCATTTAGCTCAGAGCAGGGACTCCACCTTCTTCTCCCGACTCGCCCTCAGCTGATCCTGGCTCAGGCTCATGTCCCCAAAGTGCTCTCTTTGTATGATTTTGCAGGTGGATGGACAAGTGGATGACAACCTTTTCTTGGATGTGTTGGGTGCAATAATTCATTGGGCCAGGAGATGGCACCCAATCCCCACTGATGAAATAAGGGGCAGTAAAACCAGGTGCTCTGACTGCCAGTCCAGTGCCCAGACCCAGCTACATCTCCTCTGGTGACCCAGGGCAGGCAGGAGAGGGGAGAGGGGGTCTGCCTACAGTGAGAGGCGCTCTGGAAGGATGGGCCAGCGCACCTGCCCACCACCATCAGCTCCTGCTCTGTTGCCTTCCTGCGGAAGCGCTGCCACACGTCAACGGCGAACAGGGTGCTGCTGCTGTTGAAGATGGAGGTGAGTGAGCTCATGAGGGCGGCCATGATCACAGCAACCATCAGGCCCCGCAGACCTGGGAGGAGACAGGGTTTGTGGGGTCAGCTGGCCTGTTAAGGCTCTACCAGCAACCATGGAGGCTGCAGTGTCCAGTAGAGTCAGGTGTCTGGGGGAAGGGAGGGGGTAGGGAAGGCGTTGGATGGGGTTCCCACCCCACACGGATAAGGAATCCAGGAGAATGAGAGGCCTGGTTCTGGCCACGCCCTGCCTCTGCCTTGCTCTGTGGCCTTGGGTGAGCCATCCGCCCTCCCTGAGCCTTGTGTCCTCATCTACACCATTCAGGGGTGGGAGACAAGGTGATCTTGAAGGTTCTCTGCAGCTTTGACATCTCAGTCCGGGTTTCAAAGTTTGTAAACACTGATTAGTGGGTTCCTGGTGGGTAGGAGGATGATGGTTAGTAATTGAGTGTTTTCAGTGTGTTTGTGCCTTTTTCATCGACGCTGTGGTGCCAGGCCAAAGCCCTGGCCTGGAGGGCAGAAGCCCTGGATTTGTTTCCTGGTTCTGCAAGTGTGTTCTAGCTATGTGATCTTTGACCTAAAGGAAGGATTTTTCCTTTCTTTCTGAGCCTATTTTTCCCCTGTAGCAAGGGAGGGACCCCACTGATATCTGAAGTCTCTCTGACTCTAACGACCAAGCGTCTAGAAACACCAATGCTCACCCTGGGGTGATGACTCACTGCCCACCTCAGTCCTCTTTCCCCCCAAATCCAAATATTTCACCACCTCCTGGAGGTCTCCCTGGGAGACTCAAGGTGTCCCAAACCTGGCCAGCATCTTCCTCTGGGGCCTCAGTTTCTTCCTTTGGTTAATAATATCTTTCTAGTCTCCACACCACACACCTCCAAGTTACCCCAGACCCCTTCCTCTGCTCCCTTCCCACCCACCTCCCTCAGTCAGCCCCGCTGTGGCTGCCCTGTCATAGCTGGGCCTCCCACGGTTTCTTTGATTCATTTCTTGTTCTACTGGAAGGAGGAAATAACTCAACTCATCGACTTCCCTCCATAAAGCTGCCCTTTTTCCTGTGTCCCCAATCTCAATATCATCGCAAACCCAAGACCTGGGGGCCCACTTTGGATCCCTCTGTCTTTCTCGTCCTTCAGATACAATTAGTCATCAAGTCCTGCCAATTCTACCTCACAAATATCTTTTAAACCCTTCTGTCCATCTCTAAAGCCACTGACCCGCTCCAAGCCAACATCACCACTCACCTAGACACCGCAAACCCCTTGTTAATCATCTCCCAGCCTCCCCTAAGCTGAACCCTCTATGTAGAGTGGTCCCTCTAAAGCACAAATCCAATCACGCACACTGGCCTAAAAGCCTCAGCGACCCTCCCTTGCCCTCAGAGTAAAGGCTAAGCTCTGGAACGAGGCGTGGCCACGACCTCCTCTCCACGAAGCTTGTCTTCATTCCCCTGCATATGAGCCCACATGGGGCTATTTTCATTTCAGTCTTCATGCTCTCTCTCAACCCTGGGCCTTCGCACATGCAGCACCTCTTTCCTGGAATGACATTTCCCACGCCCCTCTGCCTTTGTCTGCCTAAGATGCTCCTCGGGACTCAGCTCCATTTCCTCTCCTCTGGGAAACCCTCCCCGACATTCCCCCAAGGTGGGTCAGGTGCCTCCTTAGGGTTCCCTCAGCTCCACTGTGTCCCCACACTGGTCACATTGTATTGTGCCCTCTGCCTGGGTACCCTGGAGACTGCATGGAGCCCGAGACAGGGGCCTGCCTTTTATCCCTGCATCTCCAGGACCAGGAAACAGAGCAGTGCCTTGCAGACACTTGTAAAAAGTGTGTGTGTGTGTGTGTGTATTGGGGATGGGGGTGTGGAGGTGGATGTTTTTGTTCTGCCTTCCTGTCCATGTCTATCCTTAATGCAATCCCTCTGGGCTGGGATTGGAGGAGGCTGGGAGGCAGGAAAGAAGCATGGTGTAGGGGAGACGGGACTCACCAACGGGCATGAGACCCATGACCAGCTTGGGGTAGGCGATGTTGGAACATCCCACTCGGGCCCCGCAGACTCTTTGGCAGACATCGGGGTCCACGCAGCCCACCTCATCTGCAGAAGAAGCGATGGCAGTTAGAGCGGAATCATCCTGTGCCTTGTCAAGTTGGCCCAATATTGGCTTTCCAACCCTACAGGGAAGTGTTCTGCTGACTCTGGCAGAAGCCAGCATTCAGAGGGTCATGGGGCAGGTGGATGCTTGGGAGCTACGATTTAGCTGTCTCTGGTACATTCCTCGACCATCTACTGCCCTGCAAAGCCTGATAGACTCTTTCGGGTTCTAGGCCTTATACCTTGAGGAATGGCAAATATGCTTGGAAGGCATCGAGAATGCCTTAATTGGTCTTTCCCTTACAAAGGGAAAGCAGGATTTTAAAATCACATTCAGATACAAACTTCTTCTACTGAAATACTTATTGTGTGTTTGGCCCACAAAGCCTAAGACACTTACTGTGTATTTTTTTGTGTGTGTGAGGAAGATCAGCCCCAAGCTAACATCCGATGCCAATCCTCCTCTTTTTGCCGAGGAAGATGGGCCCTGGGCTAACATCCGTGTCCATCTTCCTCTAGTTTATATGGGACGCTGCCACAGCATGGCTTGACAAGCGGTACATTGGTGCGCGCCCAGGATCCAAACCTGGGAACACTCTGGTCGCCGAAGCAGAGTGCGTGCACTTAACTGCAACGCCACTAGGCCGGCCCCCTTACTGTGTATTCTTAACAGACAGTGTGCGACCGCCTACTCTAGTCCAACAATGCCCGTGAGGGAGACGAGCTCTTACCTGGGTACAGGGCCCGACTGATCATACCAGGCATGATGATGAAGAACATGGGCAGGATCTTCAGGTAGCCCCCCAGCACTGAGCCTCCCTTGGCATGGGACAGACTCTTGGCAGAGAGAGACCTCTGCACAATGACCTGAAAAGGCAGCAGTGGAGGTGTGCTGCTCAGCCGGGTCAGGCTCAGCTCAGCCACAGGTAAGCCCCGATGTGGTCACTGACTGTGCCCCTACAGCAGTCACAGAATGAGTCCCAACCCTCTGTGCATCCAGATGCCCGGTTTTCCCTCAGGGAGCCACCCCAGGTCGTGGTGGGCTGGGCTAAGCCTGGCTGGGGCATCACCTGGTCCGTGCACCAGCACCAGATGGCCAGCACCGTGAGCCCGAAGATGAGCCCTGGCCAAGGGATGTCCCCGCTCACAGGGTCCCGGAGCATGTGGAAGGCGTCGGGCCGAGGGAGGTGACAGGTGGTATTGGGGACTGTGGCATTAGGGATGGCCTGCCTGTACCGCTGCTCCAGGCCTGGGTACCAGCCCACCTCCTGAAAGCCTGTGGGAAGAGACCATAGTGAGTGAAACAGCCCTGAGACCCCACTGGGCCTGTCATATGCCACACACTGCCCCCCTCCCCAGCTCCCAGGCCCCTGTGGGGGCCCTGGGCTTGGAACTGGGATGGGACTTGGGAATGAGGGAGGGATGCAGGGCTCAAGCTCAAGACCCCTAGTTTGGAGTAGAGAGAATCCTGCTCTCTGGGAGCCCCAGCCTGGAGCGGGGACATGGCTCTGTGCCCTGGAAAGTTCCCATCAAACCATAGAGGTGACAGCCAAAGACAGATCAGAGAGGAATTTAAGAGTGAGGGTGCGGGTTTTCAGGTCTCTTCCTTACCCAGAAACATGAGGACCAGGGCTCCCCCCACCATGATCACCGTCTGCAGAGCGTCTGTGTAGATCACGGCCGTGAGGCCCCCTGGGGACCCAAGGAGAGGGCTCATTAGTCAGCACCAACCGGGTATTCCTCCCTGGGTGCCGGCCCTGTGCTTGGCCACTGGGGAGACCAGGGAAGTCACGGAGCCCTCTTAGCAGGTGGACTCCGGCCCCTGCCTTTCCCTGCACCGCATGCTCCCTCTGCCCCACCCGCAGGGTCGATGCTGGTCACTGTCACAGGCGCTCAGGTCTAGCTCTTTCCATCCCTGACGGCCTCTGACTGTCATGCCACAGCTTCTTGTTGTTCTGTAATAAATATCCCAAGTCTGTTTCTTTGCTGTGCTGTTAGCTCCACCAGGAATATTCCCTTTATCCCCACCCAGCACCCATTTAAATCCCCCATCTTTCCAGGCCGACGTGGCCATGAGTAAGTCTGCCCTGAGCCAGCATCCCCGGGCCCCAGGCCTGTGTGAGGTACTCTGGAGGAGACAGGGGAAGGCAGTTTGGTGGCTTTTGTCTGGAGCAGCCCACAGTGACTCTAGTCCAGGTGACAGTCTGCTGATCGCCACCCTGCTCCCTGTTACAGTCCATCTTTGTCAGTATCTGAGGGTCTCTCTTCCCTGTCTCTTTGGCTGGCAGTCTCCTCCTGTTTTGGCCCTTTGTCTCCCCTTTTCTCTGTTTCACCGTGTCTTTCAGTGTTTTCCCCTGATCCTCCATCTCTGTCTGCCTCTCTCTGTCCCTTCCTGTTTCTCGTTCTCTCTCAGGGTCCGTTTTCTCTCTGCCCCTCTCTCTGGACATCTCTCTCCTCCAGTCCTTCCCTCTGTGTCTCTGCCAGTCAGAAGCTTCTCTCTCCTTCTCTCCCTCTTTCTCAGTCTCGGCTCCTGACAGCGGCAACCCGACGTGACCTTCCCTCGGCCCTACCTACCTGCAATGGTGTAGACAGCCGTCACCACCAGCAGGATCGCCGTGGAGAGGTAAAGGTCCCAGCCCAGGGCCACCTGGATGAAGATGGCTCCAGAGAAGATGTCAGTCTGCAGAGAGCCAGGACGCAGGAGGCCAGGTCACTCGAGACCCTTCACGTGGCCAGCAGGGTATGTCACCTTCCTGCTCAGCAAATCTAGATGCTGTCAGCCCTCATCACATGATGAGGATGAGCCTTCAGTGCGGTGCTGGGGGGGATGGCCTTGCAGACACTGAGGAGCCATGGAGATTTTAAAGCAGAGGAGGACCGCATCAGACTTTGAAGCTGAGACAATGTCATCTGGTACAGTGACAGGACAGTCTGTTGGCCGTGAAGGGAGTGATGAAGGAATGAAGGGGAAGACTGAGGAAGTGAACAGGCAGCTGGAGTAGGAGAAGAGGAGGCCATTTGGGAGGACAGTAGGAGCCAGAGGGCCCCTAACTGCTGCCTGACAGAGCAGAGGCCCACTCAGCTGCCAGATGGGCATATGGCTGACCTGATGGGGCAGGAACCCCAGTGCAGAGAACCACGGCTTCTGAATACTCCACATGTTTGGGTTTATTAGAGGACTTGGCATGCGTCCTTTCCCTAAGCTGACTTAGGCTTGTTTTCAAGCACTGGGGCAACAAGAGGCTGTACATTTTTTTCAGCCCTAGACCTGGCAACTGTATGACTCCGAGCATGCTTGTTGATCCCATTCCATGATTGTTTTATGAACCCATGAGAGAGGCTACAACACAGCAGAGTGGCAGGTGACCTGGACTGGGTCATAGGACCCAAACTTTAGTGCCGGTCCCAGAGCTTGCCTTCTGTGTGGACGTGAGCAAATCATTTGACTTACGTTTGTTTTCTGAGTTTAGGTCAGTAGAGGAAGAATAAGGACCTTTCTAACTGTAACATTCTAGGCAATTAATGCACGATGCTGAATGAAGAATCAATAAATGGAAAGATAAGTGAACGAATGAACTCTAGATTGTGAGTTCTTGGAATGGAGGGACCGTCATTTACTCAGCAAACATTTGTTATTCATCTCTGATTACCCCACTGCTGAGCGGGAGCAGGTGATGAAGGTATGTGGATTCATCCTTCCCTTCTCCTATCCTTCCTTCCATCTATCCATCCATCTATCCATCTATCCTTCCATCTATCCATCTATCCTTCCATCCATCCATCCATCTATCCATCCATTGATCCAGCAAGAAGCCGTGCCCTGCACTCAGCGTTTTCAGAGAGAGAAGAGAGCCACACGTAAGTGGGTACTCACTGAAACCTTGGTGAAGATGTAGAGGATGAGAGACAGGACAGACATGTACACCTGGATCCTCTGGCCCCCGAATCGCTTCTTCAGGTACTGAGGCATTGTGACCACACCGGCTGCGATGTACACAGGGACAAAGATCCAGCCAAGGGCCAGAAGCATCCAGGTTGCCTGGGGGGGTGAGGAGAAGAAGGTATCCATGTCCCAGATGCAGATGGAGGTGTGGTCCCCTACCCAGAGGTAGCATTGTGCAGAGGAGAGCCCTGAGCAGGGAGGTAATGGACCAGGGACCTGATCTCAGTCCTGTGTGACTTCTGATGAGTCCCTCTGCCTCCTCCAGGCCTTGGTTTCCTCATCTGTAAAATGGGTTTTCAATTCCCCATGTAGCCTCCCCAAACACCTCTGAGGTTCCTCTCTGCACTAAGGCCAGGGATGGGGTAGGGTGGGGTGGGTTCAGACCCCCATTATCCCTGAGAAGCCTCCAGGCCAGCTTCCTTACGTTCCACTCGAAGCCACCCACAGCAAGGCCTCCAGTAGCCCCTGTCCCAGCCAGGCCCATGAACAAGCCGCTGCCCACATTGCTGGACATCAGAGATGCTCCGATCTGCAAGGCACAAGTGGGGTCAAGGGTCAGGGGCCAGTTTTAATCCAAATCAATCTGGAGACAGGACCACGAGCTTCTGGAGCTGGTCAGGAGGCAGAGAGAGCAGGACCTGACTCAAGGAATTTGAGATCAGAGGGAGAGGAAGAGTGGGGAGCAGAGAGGAGGTGGGGCAGAACTGACACTTATTGGGTACCTACTGTGTGCAAGGCACTTGCTAGGCACTTTATATGCACCAATACACTGAATCTCCACAAATATTTGGAGGGATGGGTATTAATCTTCCCAATTTACAGAGGAAGGAATTAATGTCAGGAAAAATCAAGTCACTGGCTCAGGGCCACCCAGTGAGTGAGTGGCAAAGTGGGAAAGAAAAGAAGCCACGGGAAGCAGGGTCCTGTAGGGAGGATAAAGCTCTGCACTTGGCCATCAATGTAAGGGCTTCCAGAGAGAAGGAAGCTGATGGGGAGGTGGGGAGGTCCCCACGAGAGGGATTGGGGGAGGCCCTCTGCCACCCTGGTTCCTACAGGCTCCCAGGCAAGGCCAGGTAGAGGGAGGAGCCCAGGGGCTGAGCACAGGCTGGGCAGCCTCTGAGTTGAGCTAATTTTTCTCCAGGAGGCCAGCCAACCACTCCTAGGCAATAGGAGCCATAATAGCTATAATGATGACAATCATGGCCCTCGGTACTTACATAGCATTGCCAGGGGCCAGCTACTGTTCCAAGTATATTAACTCATTTAATCCTCACCATGACCCTGTGAGGTGGGACCCCCATCCCCCTTCTACTGAGGAGGGACCTGAAGCACAGATAAACGACTTGCCCAAGTTCCAGATCTAATGATGACACAACGAGGATTTACAGCCTGGTTGTCTGGCTCCAGGAACCACTCCATGATTGTTGTCATGCACCTAATCAGCACTCATGAGTGTTATCTTCTATTATTAGATGGGATCCTTAATTGGGAGGGGAGGAGGGCAGAGGGAGGGGCTCCGGGGCCCGGGAGGAGGCGAGACCTTGGGGACAAGACTGGGGGTCGGAGGTGAAGAGCTATGTTCCAGTCTTGCACCCTGTGTCACCTTCCCCTCTCAAAGCCTCAGGTTCTTCACCTGTAATATGTGGGGCTCACCTGCTCCCGCTGCCTGTTCTGGAGAAGCCGAGCAATGGAGAGTGAGAGGAAAGAGAAGGTACTGAGCAGGTCAGAGAAGAGGCAGCCGCGCAGCCTAAGGGCACAGAGATTACAACCGGCCTGACACGCTCATGGCTGAGGCCTTTGGGCCACACCCTGCCACACACACATGCATGCACACACACACACACACACTCGTGGATGCACACACACACTCACTCCCTCAGGTGGTCCTGGGGATGCTGCCAGGCTGGACTGGACCACCCAGCCAGAACAGAGAGGAGGCAGACGAGGAAGCAGAGGAAGAAGGCTCCCGCTCCAGAGGAGGAAGGCTCCCCTAGGCTCCCCCGGGGCAGCTAGGGACTCTGGCCCCGCCAGCTCCCAGCTCGTAACAGGGGGCCACACGGGCCTCTCTGGAGCAGGGATGCTGCGGCTCCTTCTGCTCTGGCTTCCCAGCCACACACTCCCCTCGGGGCCCAGGGAGGGGAGGAGGCACTGCTCAGGACTGGCTGAGTAGGAAGGGGTGCAAAGCTACTGGACTTCTATCACAGACCCCCAGACACACAAGCTCCAGCACTGCAGCTGGAATGGAGATTCCCACCCAGAGCTGGGTCTGCTTCTGGCCTCAGGGGAAGCCTGCTCTCGGGGCAGGAGGCTCAGCTCACAGCCCTGCTCCCTCGGGAGGGGCACCAAATGCTCCTTCCTGCAGGAGGCACGTCTCCACACCCACCCGTATTTGTGGCACCATTCTCCTGCTGTGAGGCCACGGCTTCTCCTCACACGCACAGAGACACAGAGCACCACTCTCCACAGAATTGACAGGCAGCTAGGCCGGCCCTAGTTACTCTCCTGAATGGACCAGAGGAGATGTGCTCTGTCCTGCTTCTGGTCCCTCCTGCTGACTGTCTCCAGGGCTGTGATTTAGGGAGGGGGACACCAGCTGAGCAGAACGGCCTCCAAGGGACTTGCCTTCTTCTGTTGAGAGGGTAGCTGGCAGCACCAGTGACCCTGTCACAATCCCTGTGAGCTGCCAGGCCCTCAGCCCCCACATCCCTGGGGATTCTGTCACGCTGAGGGCACAAGAGCTCCTCGTCCCCACCTCTTCCTGTCCCAGATACCCTAGCCTTTCTGGGAGCTCCAGAGGCCCCCTGGGTCTCCTCTACTCTTTAGTGAGTCTCTACCAGTGGTGGGCGGAAAGGCGGTGAGAACTAAGACAGGGTGTGAAGATGGTTGGCGACGTGTGTGCGAGTGTGCGAGTGCATGCACGCACATGCCATGTGTGTGGCTTGTGAGGGCCTGGGCTTGTATACGACTGCAGCCACCACAGGGCCAATAACTCCACTGTTAGTTTTCAAGGCAGAGCTTACCTCCCTCCATCCTGCAAGTTGGTTTTGAGGACCAGGAGGAACATGTGGGGTGGGCCGATGGTCACGAAGGCCTCAGGATCAGGTCGGAGGTTGTTGGGGACTTCACCTCTGTGATGGCCCGCATTTAACTGCTCTTCGGGGTTAAGCTCATGTGTCACTTTCCCAAGAAAATCTTTGCTAATCCCACCTCCACCGTCGGGAGGTCAGGGGCTTCCCGCAAGCGCCCACAAGGTCCCGCGCTGCCCGCTAGCTCAGCAGGGATCATGTCATTTAGGAGTCCGTCCGCCCAGCTCAACTCTGAGCTTCTCTAGGACAGGGACATTCTAGCTTTTCTCTGTAGAGCCCACACTTAGGAGGTGCCCAGTGGATGCTTGCCTGAGGTGTGCATTACGAGATGCCTCAGGTTGTGGGTGCATTTAGACTGGAGAGAGAAGGAGCCCACAGCCAGGAAACCCCCTCGGGGGCTGCCGCCTTGGTCCAGGCGGGACAAGATGAGATGAGGACTCAGATGCTGGAGGAGGGGGGCGGGGAGGGTCCACTCACCGGCCACCAGCTCATGGACCTCCCTGCCAGGAAATAGCCGCCAATGGTCCCTCGGCTTGCACGGTAGGACGACTGGAAAGGAAGCGGCGAGAGGTGAGGATTTCCTGAGCCTCCGCCAACCTCTGCCCTCCACCCCAGAGTCCCTGCCTGTCGGCGCAGGCGCCGTGGGACGCAGAGGGCGAGCACCGAGGAAGACGGTCTCACCAGCTTTAAGCTACATGCCTTTGGGGGGTCACGTCCTCTCTCTGCGTCTCACTGCTCGTGCCCCAGGGCTGGTGAGAAGAGGAAAGGAGCTAAAGGAGGTCGGAAGCCCCCCGTGCACGGCCCAGCGCTGAGCAAGCGCACGAGATGATTGTCATTGTCCGCGCGGGTCCCCTCATCCCTCCCTCCGTCCAAACCGTTTCAGGACATGAGTTGGTGTCTCAGGCTCAGGCTGCGGTGGCCTGTCCCCTCTTCCCAGCGGAACTCCCGCCCTGGGGGCTGGAGGACAGAAAGCGCTGCGGTCCTGAGGGTGGGGGCTCTGTTTGGGGGCTTCCCCTGCCCGGGCCTGACCACACCACGTAGGCCCATCCGGGACCTGGAACAAACTCTGTCGTGCACCAAGAGCTGGTCAGTAGCGGCCTGTTTGGGGACTTGCTCTGAGGGAAGAAAGGAGAGTGGGGAGTGGAAGCCCTTTCTCTGGGGACTCTGGGAGGGCAGGGCCTGGGGGCTAGAAACTTGAAGCCAACAGGTCTCTCACCCCGTCTAGAGACAGGAGAAATGCCTGAAGGAGAGGAAGGAAAAGGGAGATTTAAAAGAAGCTACTCTTCCTCAAGAGAAAGTAATTAACCAGTCATGGGGAGGGATCAGCGTTGCAGGGATCAGCATGTGCGGGGATCAGTGTGTGGGGATCAGCATGTGCGGGGATCAATGTGTGGGGATCAGTGTGTGCGGGAATCAGTGTGTGGGGATCATTGTGGGGGGATCAGTGTGCGGGGATCAGTGTGTGCAGGGATCAGTGTGTGGGGATCAGTGTGTGGAGATCAGTGTGTGTGGGGATCACTGTGTGGGGATCAGTGTGTGTGCGGGGATCAGTGTGTGTGGGGATCAGTGTGTGGGGATCATTGTGGGGGGATCAGTGTGTGCGGGTATCAGTGTGGGGGGATCAGTGTGTGTGGGGATCAGCGTGGGGGGATCAGCGTGTGGGTATCAGTGTGTGTGGGGATCAGTGTGTGGGGATCAGTGTGTGGGGATCAGTGTGTGTGGGGATCAGTGTGCGGGGATCAGTGTGCGGGGATCGGTGTGTGCGGGGATCAGTGTAGGGGGATCAGTGTGGGGGGATCAGTGTGTGGGGATCAGTGTGCGGGGATCAGTGTGGGGGGATATCAGTGTGTGGGGATCAGTGTGTGGGGGTATCAATATGTGGGAATCAGTGTGTACAGGGATCAGGGCGTGGGGATCAGGATGTGTGGGCATCAGCGTGTATTGGCTTGGTGCCTGTTAAGCCTTTGCTTGAACTTTCTGGTGTCACCTCTGGTCCCCAGGGAGGCCAGATGAGCAGAAGGAATTCATGTTACAGATGAGGAAACTGAGGGCCAGAGATGGGCAGCAACTTGTCCAAAGTCACAGAGGAATTGGTGCTTTTCACAGCCGGCTACCTCCCAGAAGCCAGCAATCATTTGCCCATTTCTTCCTCACCAGCCCTGGGAGGCAGGGACTATTCACCCCACTTTACAGATGAGGAGACTGAGGCCCAGAGAAGGTTCCCGACCAGCTGGGCTTGAATCACCTTCTGCCTCACAGCAGAGTCTAAAGGTGCTGGCACTTCCCTTGGATGCCACGGTGATAATAGCGGCTGTTTATTGCTATCAGCTGTGTGCCCGGCACTAAGCCAGATGTATAAATTGCGTCACATCGCTGAATGTCATGACCCCACTCTACAGTGTAGTCCTTGCTTTTCTCATTGTCCATATGAGAAAACAGGCTCAGAGAGGCTTTATATATTCCCAGGGCCACGTGGCCCTCACTGTTGGAATCAGGATCTGAACTCAGGGCTCCCTGACCCCAAAGCCTGGCACCTTCCCATGGCACTGAGGCCCCCAGGGAACAGCGGAGACTGGAAGGATCCACCTGGCTCCCTCCCTGTGAGCACGTCAGAAAGTACCGTGCAGCCATGCCAAGACGCTAACTAGTGGAGGGGGGTAGGCTGGGAGTCAAGCATTCGCAGGGTTCGGGATTTGGGCACGGGGAAGAGGGAAGGAATGAGGCTCCGGGGCAGCCAGGGATGGGTGGGGCCAAAGGCAGCGGATACATAGAGACAGGGAGTCAGGAGACGAGACGGGGCTCGGGCCTGGCCTGTCTCTGGCTCGCTGTGTGAGCTCAGACCTCAGTCTGCTGTCTGTGAAAGGCTGGCTGAGAGGATGATGCCTGAGGGCCCTTCCTCCTCGGCCCCGTGCTTCTCTGATCTGCCTTCCTTCTGCCCATCCCTCCTCCAGCTCCACGACCAGCCGGAGATGAGAGCCTGCCTCTGCCTCCCTGCAGGCCCTAACCTCTGGGCATACTCACCCAGACCCCCACGGCGATGACGAAGACGAAGTACATCACCAGGACCCCGATGTCGTAGGCGTGCAGGCTGACTCCGGAACCCAGCGCCGAGCGTGGAGCTGTCGCAGTGCTGCCCGCGTTTCCCGAAGCTCCAGGCCCCATTGCTGCCGGCTCCGTGCTCATCTGTTAGTCAGTCACCACCCGGCTGGACTTTGAGGTGCTGCTGGCTTCATTCCTTTCCTTTAATGATTAAACAGCCCCGAGTGCCGTCAGCTGCTGAGAAGGCTCTGCGCCCCACTGGCGTGGAAGGTCCTGGTCCCCTTTCCCCCTAAGTGCCACCCCCATCCTCTGCAGGACTGTCTCCCTTCCCCTGCCCTCACTACACACACACACACACACACACACACACACACACGCAAACACACATGCACACACCCCCCCCCCCCCCGCTCTGGAGAGGAGCAAGAGGAGGAGGAAGAGGAGGAAAGGAGGGGCATCTTAGAATCATGGGCCTAGGAGGGGCTTCAGAAGTCAAGTTGTTCAAGCTCCTGCTTGTGTGGAGGGGAAACTGAGGCCAGGCAGGGAAAGGTGACACAGGAGGTAAAGGCGGAGCTGGGCCTGGAGTCCAGGTCTCTCAAGAGTCAGGTGCACGCATGTTCCTTACCCCGGTGGGAGGGAGACTGGGGGGAGAGGGAAGAGTCTGCCCTTACCCTTGCAGAGCACCCACCGAATCAGCATCCTGCCTCCAACCCACCCAGGCGTGATTTCCCCTTTTTTTTACAGCGTGGGAAACTGAGACCTGGGAAGAGACATGGTTTATTCCAAGCCACAGAGCGGGGCCAGAATTCACATCTTCTGAGTCCACCCTCCTGCTCTGTGCTCTGACAAATGAACGCTCCTGTAAAGGACGCAGAGCCCCCTGGGCCCAGGGAAGACCATCTGCCCCAGGACTCAGGCAGCCTGCTTTCTAGCCCCAGCTGCTCATCTCACTGAGCTGCAGAGTGACCGTGGGCAGGTTGTTAAGGGACTCTGAGCCTGACTGCCCTCGTCAGTGTGGCCTGCGCCCTGCCCCCCTCAGAGTGCCACTGCAGTGGGGATGCGGTCGGGATGGGCTCCTGGGACCTCTGTAAATCCTGTGTGACTGCATGCTCTTGGGACCACATAGCCGGGCACACAGATGTGCCCACTCACACCATCCTTCTGAAGTAGCTGAACCAGGGACATTTTAGTCTTGTGAGTATCTGCTCTCTATCCTGCTGCATACACAGGCCAGGGCCCAGGCTGGAGCAGCCGGTAAGGGGGCCCCCCACTGCCCCCATCCCCAGCATCCTGTGAGGATCCCAGGCCTGCGTGTGGGAGCCAGGCCCTCTTCCCTCCCCTTTAGGGGAAAGACAGGTGAAATGTGGGCCCTGGGCCCCCTCTCCTCTAGCCCCCAGGCCCAGAACTTTAGGCACAGGCCGTGCTGAGCCCTGAGGAGGAGTACTGTGCTGGGAGGAAGGCCAGAGTAGTCCTCAGCTGGTCAGGGCTCAGCAGGGTCTAGTGCCCACTAGTATTGGATGCTAGAAGGGCAGAGATGTAGTTCAAGGTCTTTATAGAGGAAGAGTCCTTCATGCTCATATTTAAAGGTGAATGAGAGCTTTTCAGGTCAACAAGAGGGGCAAGGGAAGCGGGACCAGCATTGGCAACATCAGGAAAATGGGAGGGACCAAGCGCCTTAGATGACTGGCCCCACGTTCTCCCGGGGGAGCTGCATGGAGGATGAGGCAGTGAGCCTGGAAGACAAGGAAAGGTCTGCGCTCAGGCCACAGTGAACGCCACGGCGAGGGCCTTGCACCAACCACTCTTCCAGAGAAGGGACACTGAGTGTAGCGGGGAGACAACCCAGTCCTGCACCTCCTTCCCCCCACCCCCACCTGAAGAGCCCACAGGCCCTGCCCTCCACCCCATCCTCACAGATGCCCAGGCTGAGCCCCAATCCCTGTGGTTCACCTAACCTTAAACCAGCAGGTTTGGGCTCACCTTGGCCACTCCTCAGTGCATCTGAGACCCATCTGTTAGCTAACCAGGCAAGTTAGCAATCCAGAGCCCAGAGAGTGCCAGGAAGGGAGCAAAAGAGAATAGATACTGTAAAGCCTGTGCCCACAGCCCAAGCCTTTGATGTATCCCTGAGCCCTGAGCCCCCTACTCAGAACCTGCCGATTTGTGCTTCACCCAGAGCTTTTGTATGTGTGCTGCAGCTCCCAACAAATTAGAGACAACAACTCAGCAGCGGGAGAGAGGCTGCCAGAGACGAGCGGGCTGCGCAGGGATGGGAAGGCACGGTTACCGATGGCCTGATGGTGCATGAGACGTCGTTAAAACCAGGAAAAGCAGAAAGGACGACACAAAAGATGGGCCAAATTGGGGTGAACAGACCTATAAAATAGGCTTGATGAACTCTCCACCAACGGCATTCTTGAACGGCTGCTGAGGATTCAAATGCATTTTGATGACCGGAGTCACCGAGGAAAGATTACAGTATGACCATCACAGATTTTCTGTTTAGAAGGCAGGGATTATAAAATCCAGGCAGGAAGAGTTTCACTCAAAACGGCGTCACATTTTCGGCAGGTGTGGGCATTCAGGGTGAGGCCTCATTTGTCCAGGAAATCCTCTCGGAGATTTCCCGAGATGGAGGCTGTGGTTGTGCTGTCGTTCTCACAGGAGGCGAGCACCTGTGGTGCCCCTGCTCTGCGAGGCCCTGAGACACCAGCACGTGTACAAGGTTTCCCAGCCCAACAGGAAAACAGATGGTCACCGAGGACCAGCGCCTCCAGCACAAAGCAGGGCAACATCCCTCCAGTCCTTTCCTTGAGTGAGGAGCTCAGGGGAAGGAGCAACAGGGTCCAGCTGGGGAGGCTGGGCAGGGATTCTAGGGAAGGGAAGTGGTTTCAGCCTGTCTTACAAAAATACAGAAGTGTAACAGGCTGATAAAATGGAAGTTTCTATTGAGGCACCAAGATACAATGCACATAAAAATTGGAAAATGAAGAGCAAATCTGCAAAGGAAATGCTAAGAGCTGGATTGATGATTCTAAGGGCTCTATGGGGTGGATATAAAAGGATTTTGTGAATATTTCTTTGGACAAATCCTTGTGTTTTTCCAACAGGAAGGGGACAGTGTGTGGGGGCTGCTTGCCCTGAGATGGTTTTGGGTAGAGGGGCTCTGGAGGGAAACTTGGAGGTCTTGGGAAGCATCCCCCTCTGTTGGGGTCATGGGGACGGGTCTGCCTCAGCCTGAAGTGTGTGGAGGGCGGGAGCCTGTGGCCGACCCGCTGCTCCGACCGCGGGGGTGGACGGGAGTTGCTGGCTTAGGATTGGCCTGCACCCTGGGTTGGGCAAAGAAGGTATGGATGTTTCTTTGGGGTGTGTGGACTAGATGTGAGAATGCTTTAATAGACTGTGGGAGTGGAGGGTGGGCAGTGGGCAGAGGCAGACAGGAACTCCAGGCAGAGGGAACAGGAAGAACAGCAGAGGAGTGTGAGCAGGAATGTGTTCAGGGAATGGCTTGTGGGGTGGGGGTGGGGGGCTGGAGCCTAGAGTCTGGAGGGAGCATGGAGGCGGGGCATGAGAAGAGAGGGCGGTGAGACTGGCGTTTTAGAAAATCCCTCTTGGGACTGCGTGGGGTCGGGTGAGATGGAGGAAGCCGGCACAGCAGTTCAGGCGGAGACGGGCACCCAGCTGGAAGGATAGAGAGGAGAGGGTCCCACTGAACTGGAAGGAGAGGGTCCCAAAGAAACATCCATACCTTCTTTGCCCAACCCAGGGTGCAGGACAATCCTAAGCCAGCAACTCCTGTCCACCCTTTGCGGCTTCCTCCCCACTGGGGTCCCTACCCGCATGGTGCCGGGGCCTAGGACCCTCAATGTCAGGCGACCCCACCCCTTGGTGGTCTTTCCCCTCAGCTCTCAGTACCTGCAAGTGCTCACCCCATAATGGAGCCAGAGTGAGAAGCAGCCTTGGGGTTGTTCCAATCCCAAAGGGACTGACGTTGTAACAGGATAGGGAAGGAGGAAGCCTTAGGCCAAGGGAAGGAAGCACTAACGGGGAGATCTGGAGCATGAGCATGGAGTGCCCATGATACAGAGCAGGCCCTCAGCCCCTGGAGCCCAGAAATCCACGCCATGGATTCCTCTGTCTCCTTCCTGCACCCTGAACCCCAGGAAGAATCCCGGGCGGGTTCAATGGTACCTGTGGTTGGCTCACCCTGGCTACTTGCAAGTCCTTCCTGAAAAACCACTCTTGGCCAGCCTTCCTGCTGAGAACTCCTCTTCCAGAACAATCAGGGGTAAGGACTTGTATTTGCCAGGTTGTGCCAGAGGTATTGTGTAGGTGGCATTCCAGATACAATCGCAGTTGTTCTAGCGACTGTAGGAGTTGGCTTCATTGTTCCCATTTTGCAGGTGGGGAAGCTGAGGCTCATTGGTGACGTCCCATAACCAGGGTTTGTTTGGGTTCTGAATTCAGGCTTGACTCACTGTAAAGGCTGAGCTATACCACCCATCCCTTCTCTCCTAGTCCTCTGTCTAGGGGGCGAGAACAGGCAAAGTGTGTCCCTCCTGGTGGTGGGATAGAAATTGACTTCATTTTGCCCCTTCCATTGGGGGCTCTGAGCAGGGCACAAAGATGGCCGGACGGGGGACAGGAGCCCCACTGGGGTCTGGACCCTGGTTCCAGAGACCCGGTCAGTCCCCTCTCCTGCCACCCCAGCCCTCAGCCCCCTCCTCCCCTGGCCACCTCTGCCCTGTCCCTGCTCTGCTCTAGCTCCCAGCCCGTGGGGCCTGGTGATGCCATTTTTTTTCGCATGCCTGTGCTCCTCTCAGTTCAAATCCAAGTGCAATTCCATTTGATTGATCACAGTCACTTACTGAGCACACTGTGTGCCAGGCTCTTTGTCAGGGCTGTCCCACTGCACAACTCCAGGGGCACCATTCCCCAAGAATACAACGTAGTGGTGCCCTTGGCATTGTGGAAGCCAGTGGCTGTGCTCTCTGCATGGGGGGCAGAGAGGTAACAGGGCCTGGTCCTGCAGGAGGAGCTCTCCTGGAGGAGAAAGCTGCGTTGTCTGTGCAGGCTGGGGACACCCCTCCCTGGCCACCAGAGGGCCAAGGCATCTGGAGTGCTCCCAGGTCCAGACCACCAGTGGGGAGGGATGGAGTCCCCATGGGGACAGGCTGGATGCTTAAGTACAAGAGGAAGGGGCAACTAGAGAGGA